GGCCCCCGTTTCACAAAGAATCTTAAATCCGTAGTCGACTAGCTCGAGCTGGGTGGCCTAGCTAGGTCGACTTAGCTGAAGTCGACTAGGAGTGTTTCACAAAGAATCTAACGTCTTAGCTTGGCCTCCTTACCAAAGTCGACGCGCACGAGAAACTCTTCAAGAAAAGGAGGTGTAAAATTGCAAAAGTTTCACAAGACACGACGTTTCGTGGCCTCTTTCGGCCGAGAATGATCGTTTATCAACAATAAAAGTCAGCCAAAACACAAACAAAGTTTGTTTTTGAACTTTATTGATTAGTTTAACTTCAATACAACTTCAAAGTAACAGTTAAACATTAGCTTGTTGTGGAACACTACTGAGGGACGTCTAGCGGTCAAAAACATAAACAAACACGCGATCGGCTGGGTAAATTGGAATTTTATTTTTTATTTTAATATTTCATAAATGTCAGTGCTATTCAAGGATATTATAACACAATATCTTGAAGGAGGTATGTTCTTTCCAAATTTTTGTTGTTTATGCTCTCATTTACCGAGTTTTAGTTGAGCTTGCCGACTTGAGGAGGCTTGACATCGTCGACTTACAGCTAAGAAAAAAACGACGTAAGCGACCTTTTAGATTCTTTGTGAAACGGGACTTAGTGACGTTACGACTTAATTACGTTGGTAACCAAGCCCTAAGTCAGGGAAACCGACTTAAGTTTTTTTGTGAAACGGGGGCCAGAACAAGTTGATCCACAGACTAAGGGTGCATTCAGAACAGGTTGATCCACAGACTAAGAGATCCGTGGATCAAATATGACTGGGCCACTTGAAAGCTTGCCACATATCCCCAAGTAGACACTTAATAGATTTCTCACTGGGAATATGAGATAAGCTTTTAAGTCGGCCATATTTGATCTATCAATCTGTTAGAATGTGGCTTTTGATGTCAGCAATTCCTGAATAGTATGAAACCCAATTGAAGATTGACATACGGAGGTTTTTGATAGGTATTTCAGTAAATGTGCGAACTGGTGTCTATGCTGCAACCACATTTAGCTTAAGAAATCAAAATAATCAGTAAGACTTAAAATTTATTTTTAAGACATTTGTACAACAAACTCACCTTTAGGTTGTACATGGCTACTTAGATCCCACTCTTGACTTGGTTCAAAAGAAGTGAAAGCTGTATAAAAAAAGGATATTTCTTAATATAAAGAGCAACACGTCAAACTTTGATAAAATGCAACCATTCATTTGCAATTATTCGTTCAGAGTATGATTAATTTTTCAGCATTTAAAATATGTCATATATGCAGTTTCAAGATGGAAGAGCAAGATTTGGGAGGATATGATTTTTTTCCTCATTTTTAGGAACTGAGATAAGATAAGAGTTTATTCAGCCATTTATATATAAATATTAAAATTCATATAAAATGGAAATTGGACTGCTATTTGGGTTACAAATTATAAATAAATTATAAATTTCCATTTTTGTTGTTAAAATAAGACACAGCAGATGGGTAAAAACTCTTTAAAAACCTTTTAGATCCCTTAAAAGTTAAAAGCCTGCAGTTGCTCGGTAAAAATTTAAAAAGCCCATGTGCGGGGTGGGTATAGTCAGACATGATTTTCTCTGTTTTTAAGAAGTGCATAATTTATTTCAAAATCAGTTTCATTTGTAATTCCTTTAAAATAACATGAGAAATGTAGAATAAATACCTAGTAGTGAGTGTTCCTGATTGATTGAGGCCCCAACTATGGTCAGCTTCTTATCATGAATAAACAGAACCTGAAACATATCATGTAAAAAATTGAATTAAGGAGAACCTTCAATTACAAAATAAAAGTAGCTGTTACTGTATTATGATTGCAATTAAATAATTAATTTCTGCTACAATAAAAATAAATATATAAATAATGTGAAGAATTTTTTTACTTTTACTCTATTAAGTAAAAATCCACTATGACCATTCTGCATAAACAGATGAAAGGTGATCACAGTCTTGCAATCAATTTCAACAATCATCAGCTATTAGTATATACTTAAACTTCCTTATCCTCTCTACTCCATATATATAATTGAAAATTACCTTATTAGTCTGTTTAACTGGATCATATATTCCAACATGTGTGACTTCGATATCCTTTAAAAAAAAGAAAAGAAAAATAAATAAAAACATTGCCCTGTTCAAGATCTGGTACCCTTTTCATGCTTGTGAATGTCTAGCATGCACTTCAAAACAAGAACTTTCTCAAAATGTACCAAGGCCAAAAGTATAGTAATGTGAAAAACTTTTCTTTTAAAATTCTGATGCCCTTTTCAGAAATTGTATTTCTCTTATATTTTAGTAATAATTTACTGACCAGAAGATCTTTACATCCAGCAGATTTGGTAGGCGTTAAACTGATTAAAAGTGCGTCCCCGTCCCCGACTTACCCCGCTGAACTGTGATTTGCTGTCCCATGTGTACAACACAATGCCATCTTTCTCCTGGCCAACCACAGTGGCAGACAGTTCTGGATTCACATCTGTAAAAAGCACAATTTATCAACATTTGACAACAACAACAAAAAACACGAGAGAAAGAGAGAGAGATTACGGGGTCAGAAAAACCACACAGTATATTAATTACTGCACAGTCATTAACTTACTTTGCTCATTTTGTGTTGCACGTATTAAATGTTCAAATTCTTTGGAAATATCAAAGCAACACGTAAACTTCAACATCTCCGATCACGGGATTCTGAAAGCTGGTTACAGCGCCATCAATCGACAATCTTTCCAAGACAAGCCACACGGTTAAATTTCGAAGTACAACCTGCTGGAACGATCCGTCGCAACTGTCGCAACGACTTTTGTAAGAACAGCGCTTGTTGCCAGGTTGCTCTCAGTGCTAGATCGGTGAATGTGTATGCTACCTGCTGTAACTAACTCTTGATTTAATAATCCTGTTAGAAGGATATATTATAATTATCGCAAGCGTACTTGTAGTTCCTAATAAAACTGATAGCAGATTGCAGAAATCGAGTTAGCTGGCAGTTGTCACACCTGTGTACATTCCACGTAACTCATGCTGATACTATTGTCAGGTTCTTATACTTTTTAAATAAAATTCAAATTGATCACTTGGTTTACAGATAAAAAAAGCCGTTAAAACTTGCCTTGAGTGTCAGGACACCATAAAGCTAGCTTGCTCACTAGGCCCAATACTTTTTCATGTGGTAGCTTTACAGTGTTGCTGTAATATGGGTAATATACATGTACATGTATGAAATCAAGATCGAAATGTAGAACCTAGAGTATTAAAACTGCAACTTCTTCAAAATTCGGGTCGAAAACTCTTAATCCACCCCTCCAGTGCAATATGTAAGAAACAAATGTAACAAATGGAAATTAAATTAATGAAACGAAATCCTCTACTATTTCTTTAAGTGATTCTACATGTATTTGAAACTGTGGCGGCATTTGGTTGAGTTTAGTAACAATGATTTGGCACGTCTACTGGACTATTTATATAAAATCTAAGTACTAAATATTGTTACTATCATCATCATCATCACCATCACCGTCATTATTATTATTATTATTATTATTATTATTATTATTATTATTATTATTATTATTATTATCTTCGTACATGAATCACAATTCTTGTTTGAGACATAAACGAACGAGGGTGCTTCTCACAAATAGCAGTGCTTTCGAAAAAGTCTGTACCGGTAGGCCTACGCGTTCAGAGACTGACAACTTGAAAGTCACCCAAACAGAATTCCCGCGGTTAATTCAGCTCAAACCTGTGGAAGCAATCCCGCGAAAGCGAGTACAACCCCCAGTAACGTAATTACGTAAATGTTAGGACCTTTTAAAGTAACCGGCACATGTGCAAGTAAACCGCCTGATGTGAAAGGACTTACATAAAACTGCTGTCGGTGGGCGTTAGCCTACTGCACTTCACCGTAGCCTTTAATCTATGTCTCAATTTAGTTTAAGCAGAAATTCACTTGACTTCTCTCCCAGAGTATACATACGCAATGGGAACATCACTGCAATGGCAGTGGGCGAAGGGAATTTGAATTCTTAGTGTTGCTTGATGGTGCATTTCATTCTTTTGGCTTCTGCATGAAGAGGAAATACAAAAATGCAAATAAATCAGCATCCAAGTTGTCGCTATTAAAGGGATAACAACCAGGGGCGGATCCAGGATAATTTGAAGAGGGGCGTCCGCCCCAAACTTAGTATTTTAGAGGGCGAACGGTGCCATTTGGTACGGTTTAGATCTATGATTCAGCTAGTCAAAATTCTAATTACAAGATGGGAACTAGAAATCGAAGGGGGGTCAGGACCCTCCTGACCCCCCCCTCTGACGTTCTGATGTTCAAAGTTGGTCCCTGTTTTTTTCTAAAAGTTGTTTTATTACATAGGGTAACCATCTATGGAGATCACGTGGTCCGATGGCAAGCACAGATTCCAAAATAGTTGCGATAACCGCTGTTTTGGTAGTAAAAGATAATTTTTTATATTTCTGTGAGTTTTTTTTATTACAATATATTTATTGTGAAATATGGTTCTCATACGGAGAGTTGTTATCCATTTAAATCTCGACATTCCGACAAATCTGTTACATGAACACATGCAATTGAGTCTTATCTTAAGTGCAGCGGAATACACCATTCTACTCAGGAAAGAAAGGTGGGTGGGATGTCCTTCGCTCACCTGGATCCACAGTATGGGTTTTAAAACTATGCCTGGGTCCAGTTTCATCAACACTGGATGGCGCTATCCTACGGATAAAATTGTTATCCTCTGGACAGTTAACCTGTGGATAAAGTAATGTTTCAAAAATGGCAGACAAATATTTTTTGTTTCTGATGTAGCTATCTAGTGGTAAAAATGACTGCTTTCTTCAGGACAACTGTCCATAGGACAACCATTTTCTACAGTGTAAAGTGTTTTTCATATGATAGCCCTATCAACTGTTGAAACTGCAGATGGCCCCTGGTGAACAAGCCATAAGTTAGTTCAGCCATTATTCATCGTTTGTAAATTGAAAAAAAAAAAATGCTAGCAAAATAGATATGACCTGAGGGAAAGGAGGGAGAAACAAATCACCTACTCTTTGTCTGCCCCCATATAACAGCAACAAACTCAACTTGACTTTTCTTTGGCACACATTTATTTAAAAAATGCCTTTAAAATACCTTTCTAAAGGGCGTTGTCAAAAAGCTTTATACATCACTGGCAAGCATGGGAAGTTGTTCTAAAGGGTTGATGTCGGGTCTAGAATTCTGCTGCTGCCCCACAATGTTCAAAAGAGATGTTCTTCTTTTTAAATTTTACACAGCATTATGGAACATCCGCCCTATACTGTATACGAAGCACTAGTATAGAGATTCACCAATTTGCTCCCCACTAGCTTTCGTTCTCGAAACATGTGGAATACAGCGTTTCCAGCTGTAAATAAGGTGGGAAGACTTTAAGCAAACATGAAAGAGAATTCATCTCCGACGATTTTAAACAAATTTGTCCATGCTCATTTCTTTCTTATCTTTTCCAATAAAATCGCATCAAATAAACTGCCCCAGTGGGAGTGATGTTGACTCTGTCTCCACACAAGACGTCGTGCATAACGAAAATTAACTTTGTAGATTTGAAATGATCCACAGACTGAAACACAAGACACTGAGTACCTATTCTCATATATAAATATGATTGTACGATCCTTTTTACACACTTCTTCAATACCAATATTGGAAATATGCAATCAAATTTCCTATCTTTGAACAGTTACCATTTTCAGTTAAGGGTAATGTTTTGATAATTAAGCCAAAACTGATGAAGGCTACTTTTAGCTGAAGTACACATTGGCAGCAATGTTTAGGAACCCTAGCAGGATTGCTGGCCGCTTTCTAATATGAGATGTTTTGAGTGCTACAAATGTAGTCAAACATTAAAAAATTAAGGACTCCCATCAGTCACATCCTTTCTAGTTTGCTTATTTATTAATTTGTTTATTTCTTTTGTTTGTAACCTAGTGGGTGTAAAGTTAATTGGTTACGATTTATTCAATTAATAAGTCAGCTCATTTTAATAAAGGCCCTCAAAAGTGTGATTTTCTAAAGAGTCAACTGGTGCGTAAGTTGTTTTCTTCTCTGCCAAGATTGGGAAATGTCATAGACAAATCAGGTTTTGGCTGATTGATTGATTTCGCAATCAAAAAGTAATTTTCCGTGGCGTGGGGGCAACAACTGCAAAGTGGGCGATATGAACTTTCCAAGTATGAGGTCATAGAAATAAATATTTTTTTGTTTTAGGAGACGTAAACAAGTGCTTGGTGAGATTATCATTGCCTTATAAGAGATACTGAGTATTTAATTGACAAAGAAGAATGTGATTTTTTTAAAGATCACACATAAGTTGACGGAAAGAAAAAAGGTTAGCGCGTTTGCCTTATATTATCTTTGTATGAAAAGAGAGGCGGTTAAAAATAAACTCTTGAAAGACCAACTCGTCGTCGTCACTATAAAATTTCAACCTGAAGTGACTAAACAAGTGTATAACGCAGATTGGGCACATAAGCAGTTTGAGGACCAGGCGTTGAAGAAGATAATAAAATGTTTGTAAGGTGAGCTTGATACCACCACAGTGTCTCATTGAATGCACTAGAGAGATTACCAATATGTCATAAAGGCATGATGTGCTTTGCAGAAAAATAAAATAAATTGTTTGAAAGGTGAGCTTGATACCAGAAAGCGCCCCATTGAATGCACTAGAGAGATTACGAATATGTCATAAAGGGACGGTGTTCTTTGCAGAAAAATAAAATAAATTGTTTGAAAGGTGAGCTTGATACCAGGAAGTGTCCCATTGAATACACTAGAGGGATTACGAATATGTCATAAAGTGATGGTGTTCTGTTATAAAAATATAATAAAATGTTTGAAAGGTGAGCTTGATACCAGAACGTGTCATGAATGCACTAGAAGGATTACTAGAAGGATTACCAATATGTCATATAGGAATGGTTTTCTGTTCAGAAAAAGAAAGGTAGGCTGTAACATCAAATACCAACTGGCTTTATTAAGTTATTCTAGAAAGGCTTATCATTAAAACTGACATGATGCCACCAAGTTTCTTTTACGTGAATTAAGTTTTTTTT